GGGCTCCCAGCTCCTTGGGGAGGCTGCTTCTCCCTCTGACCTTCTCCTCTCTCATGCTCTCTCTCACTCATTCTCCCTCAAATAAATAAATAAAATCTTAAAAAAAAAAAAAAGTCTTATAAGAAAGGTAGGAACACACGCATGAACAGTCAAAGGAAATGTCTAAATGAGGTTAAAGTTATAAGGATAATCAACAAAAAAATTAATAACATATCCATCAATTCAGGAGGAGGTGATGGGAAGGGTAGGAATGAGGTAAATCCTTAAATTTCATGGCAGGGAGATCGTACCTACATCTAAATCTAAATCTGAAATATCAAAGAACAGTAAAAAAAAATCACATAGTTTATTTATATCAGTAACCACCAAGACAACTAAAATCGGAGCAGTGTTGGTCTCTGGGGAGTGAGGCTGTACTGGGAACAGGATTTTTGTTGTTGTTGTAAGCTCTTCTGTGTTACATGTCTTTTCAGAACTGAATATATTGTTAATTGGTTCTGGGGGGAAAAATCTCGTCAACAAAAAAGTCCGAGAAATGCTGCATGTTGAGTCCACTTTAGGAACTTCACAATGCACACTGGTCATTAAATGTTTGGAAAGGTCCAGCATTAAATACAATGGTTTCATTTCTGTGTCACTGGGTGCTGAGTTCAAGAGCTCGGTGTGCCAGGTGTGAGGTTTAGACCTGTCCTCACAGTCTGTTGAGTGTGGCTTCAGATAAGCATCTCTATGGAGGAGTAAAGAGTGCCTTCCCTCAAAGAAGTCCAAGTCCTAACCCTTTGAACAAGGAATCCTCGAATCCCTTTCCTTATTTGCAAAAAGGGTCTTTGTAGATATAATTAAGGTAAAGATTTTGAAATGAGATCACAAGTGACCTTAGAAAAACACAGAAGAGAAGGCCAAGTGAGGATGGAAGAACAGACTGGAGTGACGCATCCACTAGCCAAGGGCCAGCAAACACGCAGGGCAGCCCCGGAAGCTAGGAGAGAAGCGTGAAATGGACTCCCCCCTCCCCGCTGCCAGCAGAGCCTTCAGGAGGCGGGCAGGGGGGTGAGCTGCCAACACCTTGATCTTAAATTCTGCTCTCCAGCACACTGAGAAAGTGCATTCCTGTTGTTTCAAGCCACCCAGTTTATAGTAATCTGTTCTGTTAGGCTACTTAGTTTACGGTAATCGCCCAGGAAATGAATAAACTACCCCTTCCTCCCAGTGGGGTACACATGGTGATTCCTTGAGGTCACACACAACCAGGTCGTGGCACCGTGCCTGGCACGTGCCAAATGCTTACCTTTGTAATGTTAAGCTGTTCGCTGTGCTCTTATCCATTATTTTTGTCACCTGTGTCTTCTCAAATTTAGGCCTGTGGTGGGAGTAGGGGAGGACCAACCCAAATTCAGACTCCCCTTTGCTTTCTAAGAAGCCCTGGGCCCTCACTGGGGGTTTGTCCTTTTCAGGGTCCTTAATGCTTACAGCTCTGGGAGGCACGTGAGGCAGGTGTAGTCGGATATAGCCCCAGTGACGTCAGGGCCGCAGAGAACTGCAGCATCCAGCGGCATGGGATGTGGTACCAGGCGGCCTGGCGTGGCAGTGGCAGAAGGGAGGGAAAGCCCAACATCACCCCTAGGCCAGCACACGGCTCTTGATCTGTCTAGGCGTCAGCAGCTTGGCACTTTTATTGAACACACACCCAGTGTCTGGCCCTGGGGACAGGGTCCTGATGCAGACAGCGTCCTCGCTATTCCATCCTTCGTGCCTCTGTCAGCCCACTCCAGGAGGGCTGATGGCAACAAAGTGGCCCACCAACAGATGAAGCAAACACTTGGAAGTTATGACTCATGCTGGTAAGGAGCGGCACCAGGGTCTGGCTGGGCTGGGGACACTCAGGCAGCACCCAGGGGCCTAATGAGGAACAGCCAGGAAAATCGAGAACAGGTGGGGTTAAGGCAGCCTGGACAGGGGGACAGAGTCACCCACGACAGTGTTTCTCATACTTGTGGAGAGGGACCCAAAGCGAGTCTGTTCATATGGGCTCTATCTATTGATATTTATCGTACTAGAAATTAAAACAAAAAAATTCAGACTCAAGCACACATTCCAGTAGCAGACAGAGGGATGATGTCATCACTCATCATTTAGCTTTTGGAGTATTCCATTATATTCTTTTGAGAGAATAAAGGATAAATGATGTTA